TTTCCCTTGTTTTCTTCTTCTTATTTTTTTGTCGACCCTTGTTTTCTTCTTTGGTTTATTCATTCTTTATTTTAAAATTAGGCTAATTTATTGTAGTACTCCCGAAACTACGGTTAAATTCTATATTACCCTTCGAAAGTCAAAGTGACCAACTTTCCCTCCTTGATTAAGATTTGGTGTTCCACTTAGTCCTTACCGTCATCTCTATTGTTGATTTTGTCCATTTTGTTGATGTTGCAGGTCTATTTTAGTCTTTTAAACACGTGGCTGAAAGGCTATAACATTAGGACTGCTGCTGGAGAAGGATGACAAATCTTTTGACAATTATGTAGACCACAACGCTCCTAATTTTGACCCAAATGCTCCTACCGCCTTGTTCTCTTGGTACCGTCATTGAGGTATAATATTCGCACTCGTTCCAAGATTTTGAATCCTCTACTTCAACTTCCTTGTTCAGACTCGAACCACATTATTTGTACGTCTCTCTCAATCGATTTGAAGGTGGAAACCCTAAATCCTAACTTTAAGCATTTTCGTATATTTTAACTTTATTTTCCACAATTTAGGCTAGGATCGTGCGCTCGTGCCAGACTCAATGGACTGAATTCGGCTTGTTTATCAGCCTGTTTGACACCTCTACTTGGATGTTCACTTTGTTGGCTTCCTTGTTCCTGTTGATTATGACCGTTGCGAGTGTTCAATTTGTTTTTGGTGGTGTTATTTTTGGGGTTAATTAGACCTGTGACTTGCCATCCACAAGTTCCTGTTGCTTTTTCTGATTTCTTTTTCTTTTATTTGGTTTGGGTAACTTCTTTAAAATCCGTATCTCTTGTTGTCTTATCCACTTGTAGGTTCCTATAATATGGGTGGTCCATATTTGTCGTGTGCAAAGTTTAGATAAAAAAAAATATTGTGGAATATGATCATGGGATTGTGGAATATATCTCATCCAGGTAGCAGGCTTGTTTTTAAGAAAGTGACTCATTCTAATATGAAATATTATGCAAAAGTCCTTTGTAAAGTTTATTTGGAGATTTTTAAAATAGTAAATTTATTCGTTTCGTTTATGATCTTGTCAAATAAGGTTTCGAAATGATATTTTGTTTATTTTTTGTCCGTTTTCTATTTGGAAAATATCCTACGATGGTTGCTTGTATATATTCCAAAAAAAAAAAAGACTTGAATTAGACTTGACCCAAAAGCAGCTGCCTCGATGAGCAACACCCCACGTCATTTTTGTTCTCAACTTTAAATGCCAATTTTAGTAATAAAGATCACGTGTGCCAAGCACCATTTTTATATAGTAAGTTCAGTTCATGTTTATCTCCCACCTGGCATTTTAATTGTCAAACTTTCTCTCGCTCCAATCGCCTTCGTCTGTTTTTTTTTGGGAACTTGCCACTCCAGTAGCCCACCCCACGCTTCCACCTGGCGCCTCCGACTCTTGGGCCCCACCTGCCCCGCAATCCTTAATTTATAAAATCCCCCTCTCCCTCATTCTCAGAAACACCACTCAAATATACAGCTCAGCTCACTCTCTCATGGATATGATCTTCGCCCAGCTTTCTGACTCGGCCGACCAGCCCAAGTCGAGTTCGTTATCCGACGCAAGCGTGACCACCTTGCGCACTTCGGACGTCATACTGGCGTCGAGCAGGCCAAAGAAGCGCGCGGGAAGGAAGGTTTTCAAAGAGACGAGGCACCCGGTTTATAGGGGTGTGAGGAGGAGGGACAACAACAAGTGGGTGTGTGAGTTGAGACAGCCCAACAAGAAGAAGTCCGGGATTTGGCTCGGGACCTATCCTACGGCTGAGATGGCTGCTCGTGCCCATGACGTGGCTGCATTGGCTTTTAAAGGGAAGCTTGCCTGCCTCAACTTTGCTGACTCGGGTTGGCGTCTGCCGGTGGCGGCATCCATGGATGCCATGGATATCCAGAGGGCAGCTGCGGAAGCCGCTGAAGGGTTCAGGCCAGTGGAGTTTGGTGGAGTTTCCAGCGACAGCAGTGATGAGAAGGAGAGAATGGTTGTGGTGGAAGAAAAGAAGAAGAAGCAGGCTATTGTGGATATGGGAAAAAGCTGCAGCAGATTAAACTTGTTTTATTTGGATGAGGAGGAAATGTTTGATATGCCAAGGTTGATTGACAACATGGCTGAAGGGCTTCTTCTTTCTCCACCTCAATGCTTAGCTGGCTACTTGAATTGGGATGACATGGAAACTGAAGCTGATCCCAAATTGTGGAGTTTCTCAATCTGATTGATGTTTTTGTTTTAGTCAATCTCTATAGGGTTTAGCGTGTCTTTTGTTCGATTCATATGTATTTATTTGTTCATGCGTGAGTCGGACATAAAGATTTTAATTAAGCGGAAATGTTTACTGTGGCTCTAGATAAGATATTTTTGGTGTGTTGTAGATATTTTTGGTATGAAAGATATTTAGGTTGTACAAAAGTTTACCTAATTTGGAATTACTTAATATAAAAAGAAAGCATCATGTCTAATGTTTGATGGAGACCTCTTTTTCCTGGTATGTGTGCTTCTTTTGTGAGCTGCCTTCCATTGTACCAACCAATACGTGTCACTTTGCTCAGTCCATGTATTTTTGTTTTAGTCAATCTCTATAGGGTTTAGCGTGTCTTTTGTTCGATTCATATGTATTTATTTGTTCATGCGTGAGTCGGACATAAAGATTTTAATTAAGCGGAAATGTTTACTGTGGCTCTAGATAAGATATTTTTGGTGTGTTGTAGATATTTTTGGTATGAAAGATATTTAGGTTGTACAAAAGTTTACCTAATTTGGAATTATTTAATATAAAAAGAAAGCATCATATCTAATGTTTGATGGAGACCTCTTTTTCCTGGTATGTGTGCTTCTTTTGTGAGCTGCCTTCCATTTGTACCAACCAATACGTGTCACTTTGCTCAGTCCATGTATTCCCTTTCTCCTTCTCTCAGTCGAGTTGCTTTCTCTTTCCTCTGTTCCCTCGGCTCTAGGCTATTCCACTTTTTTGTTTTTGGGATTAATTGACCCTGTGCTTGATTTTTTATTTTATTTTTACTGTTGTAGGCTGGGGTTGTTTCTTTTTCCACCTTTGCAACAGCCGGTCCACATGTTCACTAAACCCTTAGCGGACTAGATTGGATTGGATATATCAAAATTTTCTTTTGTTTTTCGTTTTCTAGTTTCAAAATTTTAAGTTTATTATCTTTACAAATAAGGTTTCAAAATGAGATTTTGTTTTTTTAAACAATATTTCGTCAACAGTTTAGTCAGATTTTGTACATCTCAACTCTATAGTTGAGGAAAAATATGAGTAGGTCAAATCTTATCAAAGTTGTATCATGCGACATATGTTCTTTTAATCTTTCTCCGAGATATGACAAAGAGATTGTCATTTAGTCACTCCACAATCTCAATGCATCAATGAACAGTATATCTATCATGACCAAGCAACAACATCTCAGAGCGCAATATCCCACAAAATGAGGGGCACAACCGAAACTAGCCTAGTTATGTGGCATATATGACTTGTTAACATAATTTGAACTAGAAGAATATGACTTATGTTATACCAGCGAATTGTAGAAGTGAAGAAACTACATATCGGAGCTTGTTGCGATGGGCTAGAATATGGTGTTCTTTCATGTTTGATCCATTCTTAAGGTGAGAAAAAAAAAACTATAGGTAGTTGTTCATATACTTACACTATGTTTATGAAATGGTGATGAGAATGTTGGAAGCTTGGATTCGAATTTGAGCTTCCTTAGTGCAAAAATGGAAGTTGTTGAGGAATGTGATTTTAGCTAAAACTTTTCTAAATGAGGAGTTGTTTGCCTCACTGAGAGAGTCAACAGTGAAGTTGAGAACGTTATGGTGGTGGAAATACTTGCCTCACCGAGAGTGCAAGATTCAGAGGGACAATAGGTTTGCAAAGAGTGAAGTAGATCGACATATATCCGCGAAAAACTGGAGAACACCGAGGATCTTCTAGCAACCAATTGGTCGTGTGGTATTTTTCCTCAATTTATAGCCGGGTGAGTTGTACCGATATTATCCTCAATTTAGCCATTTAAATTCAATATCCATTATTATTATTATGATGTTTTACCTCAAAATATCTCAGTACAATTCAAAAAGAGTTATCACTTAGTTAATCTCTTTATAAACAAATATCGTTTTCAATGTAATACTATTCATATTTTGATCCAACATATATCATACTCAATTTCATAAAATTTATTGTCACGCTTTTGGACTATTGGGTCATTAAAGATAGTTGCAAAGAGCTGCAGCTGGCGTCAGTAGAGCTCATAAATATCTCCCATTACTCTACTGGGTAAAATGTCACTCACTCCACAACTCACACAACACAGCTAAGCTAACTGACCTTTGGGTGTTTTTTCTATTTGGTTTGAATTCAAAGTTGACTTTGAAATCATCCTCACCAAACCAAGCACGCGTGCGTCGACCAATTAAATCAAACCCAAACACACACACACACGTGTACACCTCATTCTCCAGATTATTTACCCAGTCATTGCTTATGTTGTGTCGATTTTCAGTTAGTTAGCCCATCAGTTTTTCAGTACAAGGAAAGCCACTTTAAATATTTTCCAATTCGACACTCGAAGGGCAAAGTCCTTGCATTCTAATTTTTTGTTTGCCCCATTGTCACAGCCAAAAGCCACATATGATTTGTATTATCATTATTTTGGGTTAGGATTATGATGAATGTCAAAATTTGTTCCCTTCTAATTTGGTTATAAAAATGGA